ATCTGAACCTGTTCTATCCTGTGCCAACCTCACAATCTCTGATACACTTGAGCCCATTGCTGCAGTCACTGAGTCATCCACCTGGATGAGGGTCTGCCTCCCTTTCACTGTCCCTCCACTTTTCAAAGCATGATGTCCCTTTCCAGGAAGAGCCTCTTCTAACAACATGCCAAAGTATGTGAGACAAAGCTTCATCATCTTTATTTCCAAAGATCACTCTGGCTGTACCTTCTCCAAGACTTACCTGTTTGTTCTTTTGGCAGTCCATGGGATGGATATACAGTACTCTTCTCCAACACCACAGTTCAAAGGCATCAGTTTTTCTGCTGTCATCTTTATTCATTGTCTAGCTCTTAGCAGTATAGCAAGTAATTGAAAGGACCACGGTAGTGGAAACCAATTTCAGTAACTGATTGACTAAATGAATGTATGTTTTAAAAGGCTACCAAGCTACATAATAGAAATTTAAGGTTCCAGCCTATTATTAAAGAAATACTTCATGTTCTGTCAAGATACCTGTTTACAAGTGATGACTATGATTACAACACTGGTGATAACTTTACCCCTTCTGAAAGGTGGCACAAACATTTGCAATATATACTCTCCATAAAGATAGATTCTCCCCTTATCCCTGGCGGTGAGTGAGGAGTGTGTGCTCCGGGCTCGGAGCACACATTTGTTATTAATAAAATAAAATAAAAAATTTTAAAAAGTCTTTTAAAAATAATAAAAAAAATTTGCAAAATATCCACGTCTCCCCCTCCGGAGACTTTATTTTTTTTTCTTTCTTTCTTTTATAAATAACCTGGTGAAGCAGCCGAGACCAACTCGCCCCGCAGCAGCTCCAAGGAGGAACGAAGAGACTTGCGAGGCCCGCCTGCAGCCAGAACCCGACCCCGCCAGCCTCGCTCCCCAGCCGGCATTCAGCACCCAGCGATAGCGGATTGAGCCTGGCCTGTGGCCCTGCTGGCAGCCATGCCGAGATGAACCCCAGCGCCCCCAGCTATCCCATGGCCTTGCTCTACGTGGGAGACCTACACCCCGACGTGACAGAGGCCATGCTCTAAGAGAAGTTGCGCCCGGCCGGGCCCATCCTCTCCATCCAGGTCTGCAGGGCCGCGATCACCCGCCGCTCCTCGGGCTACGCGTATGTGAACTTCCAGCAGCCGGTGGGCGCAGAGCGTGCTTTGGACACCATGAATTATGATGTTATAAAGGGCAAGGAAACGTAATTTGGATTATAAAATTCTTGCTTTAATAAAAATTCCTTAAACCGTGAAAAAAAAAAAAAGGACAAGCCAGTACGCATAATGTGGTCTCAGTTTGACCCATCGCTTCGCAAAAGTGGAGTGGGCAACATAGTCATTAAAAATTTGGACAATTCCATTGATAATAAAGCACTGTATGATACATTTTCAGCATTTGGTAATATCACCTCATGTAAGGTGGTTTGTGATGAAAATGGTTCCAAGGGCTATGGCTTTGTGCATTTTGAGACACAGAAAGCAGCTTGAAAGAGCTACTGAAAAAATGAATGGGATGCTTCTAAATGTTCGCAAAGTATTTGTGGGACGTTTTAAGTCTCGCAAAGAACGAGAAGCAGAACTCAGAGCTAGGGCTAAAGAGTTTACCAATGTTCACATCAAGAATTTTGGAGAGGACATGGATGATGAGCACCTTAAGGATCTCTTTGGCAAGTTTGGACCTGCCTTAAGTGTGAAAGTAAGGACCGATGAAAGTGGGAAGTCCAAAGGTTTTGGATTTGTGAGCTTTGAGAGGCATGAAGATGCACAGAAAGCTGTTGATGAGATGAATGGAAAGGAGCTCAATGGAAAACAAATTTATGTTGGTCGAGCTCAGAAAAAAGTGGAACGACAGATGGAACTTAAATGCAAATTTGAGCAGATGAAGCAAGACAGGATCACCAGATACCACAGCATTAACCAATATGTGAAAAATCTTGATGATGGCACTGATGACGAACATCTCTGCAAAGAGTTTTCTCCATTTGGTACAATCACTAGCACAAAGGTTATGATGGAGGGTGGTTGCAGCAAAGGATTTGGTTTTGTATGTTTCTCCTCCCCTGAAGAAGCCATGAAAGCAGTTACAGAAATGAATGGTAGAATTGTGGCCATGAAACCACTGTATGTAGCTTTAGCTCAGCGGCGTCAGGCTCTCCTCACTAACCAGTATATGCAGAGAATGGCAGGTGTCCAAGCTGTGCCCAACCCCGTAATCAACTGCTACCAGCCAGCACCTCCTTCAGGTTACTTCACGGCAGCTATTCCACAGACTCAGAACCGTGCTGCGTACTACCCTCCCAGGCAAACCGCTCAATTAAGACCAAGTCCTCGCTGGACTGCTCAGGGTGCCAGACATTGTCCATCCCAAAATATGCCTGGAGCTATCTGCCCAGCTGCTCCTAGACCACCATTTAGTACCATGAGACCAGCTTCTTCACAAGATCCACGAGTCATGTCAACACAACGTGTTGCTAACACATCGATACAGACCATGGGACCCTGCCCTGCAGCCCACACTGTGCCGCAGTATAAATATGCTGTGGGAGTTCGCAATCCTCAGCAACATCCAAAGGCACAACCACAAGTCACCATGCAGCAGCCTGCTGTTCATGTATAAGGTCAAGAGCCTTTGACTGCTTCCATGTTGGCATCTGCCCCTCCTCAAGAGCAAAAGCA